AAGTAAACGGGGCTAAATGAGTGAGGACTTGATGAAGCAAGGAAAGCCATCACCAGTGTAAAAAGCCCAGCCTCTCCAAGAGGAGGTTGGCCCCTGTGATGTTTTGGGGAAACTCCCTTTAAACCCCTATGGGAAAAAAGCCTGATACTTGGGGAAGCAAATTAAGATCTTCCCCAATTCAACCAACATTTCCCCTAGTTCCTCTTGTATTTAGACTTACATAAATGTCTTCACCAACAAAAAAATCTTGTTCACTTATATAATCAACACTTAATCAGTGTGTACAGTAAGATAGATATTGTGTTAGCCCTATAAGTACAATGGTAAGAAAGATCAATACAGATCTTAATGTCATGGAACTAACATACTAGTAAGTGAGATATATAATAAATAGGTAAATAAATGATTAGAAAATATATCATGGATAGTGATATGTGCTATGAAGAAAAGTAAGCAAAATAAAGGGATGAAGAATGATGGAACTAATTCAGATATTATGGTCAGAAAGGGATCTCTGTGGTCCTACTTTAGCATTCTATGAATACACAGTTCCTCATCAACAATTCACTTAATGCTTTTTACAATTGAAAACCTTCATTTAAATCAGTATTGTACTAAGTCCGTCATTGCTTCTAATACATTTAATTAGTTACCCTCTTGCTACTTGATAAACTTGAAATCTAATGGAAAAGGCAGCAAGTGTTTGATTATACTCTTTATATGATTGTAACTAATTAGCCACCTGATGGTTAATTAGCCACTTTATATGATTGTAACTAATTAGCCACCTGATGGCGAATCAAACCACCGAATGGTACACTTGAAATTTTCTGACCTCTTATTTATGTATCATTATGGATTTGTTGATTTTCATTGGTTTAGTATACTTTAGCCCATCACAGTCTTTGTTGATGCCTAGCTGTATAAATACTAATTCCTTATGGATTTTTGTGTACCTTTGACTTGATTCTTTATTCTTTGAATTTACTATTGCTTTCTGAAGCTTTCCCAGGCTCACCCTATACCTTACCTATCCCAGACCAAACACCTGAATTGGTTAAAAGTGAGTTCTTCTGGTCTTTCATGTTTTATGTGTTTTGTTCCTTTTTAAAAAATTAATACTAGCTATAAATTTTTAGTTGTTTAGTTAACATGTTTTAGTACACAAAGTACTTTTTACCCTCTTTTGATTATTGTATTGTCAAAATGGTGCTCTCCTTTGATGATTTGTGTCTTTTTGTTATGGTTCATTAATAATATAAAACATTCTTGCTTCTGTCACAACAGTCAAGGGCACATCTTCTACCTTACCTGCTCCAGGTCATGACTCAGATCTTTATTTTAGGAGCCATGGTTCATTACCTGGTTTATTGCCACAACCTGGGCAATAGGCATGCTTATGATTTTTTGTTTCATGGGAGGTAAGTCTTTGACAATTTTATCTCTTTCTAGCAAATTGTTCTTTTTTCAACTTTTATGGCTTCTGGGGTTTTCAGTATTTATTTACCTAGAAAATAATTCATAAGTCAACATTTTCAAATTGGTTGGCATATGAGTCTTATAACATTTTAAAAATACCCTCTGTGATGGTTCTTTCATTTGTCATTTACTTTTTTTTTTTTAATAGATCTTTATTGGAGTATAATTGCTTCACAATACTGTGTTAGTTTCTGTTGTACACCAAAGTGAATCAGCCGTATGCATACATATGTCCCTATATCCCCTCCCTCATGAGCCTCCCTCCCATCCTCCCTGTCCCACCCCTCTAGGTCATCGCAAAGCACAGAGCTGACCTCTCTGTGCTATGCTACTGCTTCCCACTAGCTAACTACTTTACATTCGGTAGTGTATATATGTCGATGCTACTCTCTCACTTCGCCCCAGCTTCCCCCTTCCACCCCATGTGTTCAAGTCCATTCTCTATGTCTACATCTTTATTCCTGCCCTGCAACTAGGTTCATCAATACCATTTTTTTTTTAAGATTCCATGCATATGTGTTAGAATATGGTATTTGTTTTTCTCTTTCTGACTTACTTCACTCTGTATGACAGACTCTAGGTCCATCAACCTCATTACAAATAACTCAATTTCGTTTCTTTTTATGGTTGAGTAATATTCCATTGTATATATGTGCCACATCTTCTTTATCCATTCGTTTGTCAATGGACATTTAGGTTGGTTCCATGTCCTGGCTATTGTAAATAGTGCTGCAATGAACATTGTGGTACATGTCTCTTTGAATTATGCTTTTCTCAGGGTATATGCCTAGTAGTGGGATTGCTGGGTCATATGGTAGTTCTATTTTTAGTTTTTTAAGGAACCTCCATACTGTTTTCCATAGTGGTTGTTTCAATTTACATTTCCACCAACAGTGCAGGAGGGTTCTCTTTTCACCAAACCCTTTCCAGCATTTATTGTTTCTAGATTGTTTGAGAATAGCCATTCTGACTGGCATGAGGTGATACCTCATTGTAGTTTTGATTCGCATTTCTCTAATAATTAGTGATGTTGAGCATCTTTTCATGTGCTTCTTGGCCATATGTATGTCTTCCTTGGTGAAATGTCTATTTAGGTCTTCCATCCTTTTTTTTGGTGTGTGTGTGTGTGTTACACGGGCCTCTCCCGCTGTGGAGCACAGGCTCCGGACCTGCAGGCTCAGCGGCCATGGCTCATGGGCCTAGCTGTGGGATCCTCCTGGACCGGGGCACGAACCTGTGTCCCCTGCATTGGCAGGCAGACTCCCAACCACTGCGCCACCAGGGAAGCCCCTTCCATCCATTTTTTAATTGGATTGGTTTTTTTCTTAAGTTCCATTTGTTTATTTTTATTTTTATTTCCGTTACTCTAGGAGGTGGGTCAAAAAAGATCTTGCTGTGGTTTGTGTCAGAGTGTTTTTCCTATGTTTTCCTCTAATAGGTCTTACATTTACGTCTTTAATCCATTTGGAGTTTATTTTTGTGTATGGTGTTAGGGAGTGTTCTAATTTCATTCTTTTACATGTAGCTGTCCAGTTTTCCCAGCACCACTTATTGAAGAGGCTGTCCTTTCTCCATTGTATGTTCTTGCTTCCCTTCTCATAAATTAGATGACAATATGTGTGTGGGTTTATCTCAGGGCATTCTATCCTGTTCCATTGATCTACTTTTCTGTTTTTGTGCCAGTACCATACTGTCTTGATTACTGAAGATTTGTGGTATAGTTTGAAGTCAGGGAGCCTGATTCCTCCAACTCCGTTTTTCTTTCTCAAGATTGCTTTGGCTATAAGGGTGTTTTGTGTTTCCATACGAATTGTAAAATTTTTTGTTCTAATTCTGTGAGGAATACCACTAGGAGTTTGATGGGGATTGCATTGAATCTGTAGATTGCTTTGGGTAGTATAGTCATTTTCACAGTATTGATTCTTCCAATCCAAGAACATGGTATATTTCTCCATCTGTTTATGTCATCTTTGATTTCTTTCACTTTTTATATTTGTTGATTATATTATTTATATGTTCTCTAATTCATCACATTCTAATTCTATATTTATTGAATTCTCCTCTCACCTTTTCTTTAGGTCACTTTGTTCTTTTCTGTCTTCTTGAATGGAATGTATACATTGGTTTTCATTTTTTCAGTTTTATCAATATAAGTGTTTAAATCCTTATTTCCTATGTGACTAGTATTGAGTTTCATAGATTTTTAATGTGCAATATTTTCAACGCCACCATTCCCTGAAAGTTTTGTAATTTCAGTTACATTTCCACAATAACTAAGCAGTTATTTGATAGAAAGTGTCTTCATTTCTAAGTGGAAGTACTTTTACTGATACTGGCATTCATTTATGATTTTATTGTTTCAGTCAAATAATGGTGTTTGCATTATTTCACCTTAATTATACATAATTCAGTCACAGGAAATTATTTTTGCCTTTTATCATGCAATGTATATCAGTCACTTTGGATTTTCCTTAGGTTGTTCCCTCATCTGATTGCCAATCTCCAGCTAGGTCCAAGAGATCTTTTGTTACAAAGTGCCTTACAGTCTTGCTCACCTCCACCACCTTTTACATATCATTCTCCAGTGTTCTGTGTTCATGTGTTCTCCAGTGACTTCTTTTTGTAATATTGGCTTTTATTCTCACATTGCTTTCAACCAGTGATTTGCTTTTCCTATAATTATGAACTACTATGACCTTGGGGCTTGCTATTCAGTGGCACATAGAATGATTTTATTTGTCCTTTTGGAGTTTAATAAGGAAATAAACAGTATGATAACAGAGAATATTACAGATTACACAATTGGAAAAATGGGTATGAGGGCAAGGAACTAGATATTGGAATAGAGACATAGATATTAACTTACTTAGAGTCAGCTAGTACATAATTTCAGAGGGTGGTAACTTTTAGACCCAGACAACGAAAAGGAGGTAGTATATAAGGATTCCATTTCTGAGAAATGAAATATCTTGTGGGTATCTCTAAATGATAGGAAATGTGGTTTGATGCAGAAGGTGAAAATGATTAGGTGAAAGGGGATAATGGATTAAAATGTTGTTTTACAAGCAGCACCCTGTTATCGATGGTAAAGTATTGGGATTATATTGTAAAAGAAGAAAAGTATCAGAAAATTGTTAGTATGTATCAATAATCAAATTTTGATCTGTATTTGCAGTATGTCTACAAGATACTGATGACTAAATTCCACATCTATAGGTGTTGATTCAGTTTATCTGGATTAGTTCATGAACATCAGTACTTGACAAGCTTACTAGGTGATGATCAACACCAAAATTTCAGACCCACTGACTTAATCCATTTCTCTTAGCACAAACCTAACAACGTTATGTTATACTCTTATCATTCTCTGAGTTCTCTTTACCTTTCCTTAAACTTCATAACAGTATTTTAATCATTCACTTATACTGTGAGTTATTTTCAGTTTTTCTCCTGTGCATTTTATAAGTATTTTATCTTTGTTACACATGAAAAAAGAAATTGTTTTTTTCCCTTTCTTTCAGACTTGGAATCCAAGTATGACAAAAAGACTTTATCTACAGAGAAGGACATTATTGAAAAAAATGATTCTCAGTGGGAAGTAATAGAAAGTAGTAAATTAGTTGGCCTTGCGAACTCCATTGTCAGAAATGATTGGCAAAGCAAAAGGAAGACTGAAGTGCAAAGACCTGAAGTGGGATATTTCAGTCAAATGAAAATCATCTCTGAAAAAGTACCCAATTACAAAAATCATAAATCTCTTACATTACAACAAAGAATTCATGATAGTGAGAAGCCCTGTAAGGAATATGGGAAGGTCCTTAGTTGTGACTTAAACTTTGATGAATATGAGAAAATATATACTGAGAAAACCTCTGAACATAGTAGATATTGGAAAACCTTTGGAGTAGATGACCCATATACCCTACAACTGAATATTCATACTGGTGTGAAACCTTGTAAATGTATGGAATGTGGGAATGCATTTAGTTTTTATGAAGACCATAGTGTACACTGTGATGATCAGAAGTGCTATAAATGTAAGCAATATGGAAGGACTTTTAGAAGAATTGAAAAAATCACTGCACTTCAAAGAATTCATGATGGTGAGAAACCTTATGAATGCACTTTCTGTAGGAAATCGTTTAGAGTGCATGCACAACTTACTAGACATCAGAAAATCCATACTGATGAGAAACCTTACAAATGTATGGAATGTGGCAAGGACTTTAGATTTCATTCACAACTAACTGAACATCAGAGAATTCATACTGGTGAGAAACCATACAAATGTATACAATGTGAGAAGGTCTTTAGAATTCGTTCACAGCTTATTGAACATCAGAGAATTCATACTGGTGAGAAACCTTATGCATGTAAAGAATGTGGGAAGACTTTTGGAGTCTGTCGGGAACTTGCTCGACATCAGAGAATTCATAGTGGTAAGAAACCCTATGAATGCAAAGCATGTGGAAAGGTCTTTAGAAACAGTTCATCCCTGACTAGACATCAGAGAATTCATACTGGTGAGAAACCATATAAATGTAAGGAATGTGGGAAAGCTTTTGGAGTAGGTAGTGAACTTACTCGACATCAGAGAATTCACAGTGGTCAGAAACCTTATGAATGTAAAGTGTGTGGAAAGTTCTTTAGACTTACTTCAGCCCTTATTCAACATCAGAGAATTCATAGTGGTGAGAAACCTTATGAATGTAAGGTATGTGGGAAGGCCTTTAGACATAGTTCGGCCCTTACTGAACATCAGAGAATTCATACTGGAGAGAAACCTTATGAATGCAAGGCATGTGGGAAGGCCTTTAGACATAGTTCATCCTTTACAAAACATCAGAGAATTCATAATAGTAAGAAACCCTGTGAATGTAAGGAATGTGGGAATGCCTTTAGAGTGGGCAGGCAACTTACTTGACATTGAACAAGTTGTACTGGTGAGAAGATTTTTGAATGACATATATAAAGCCCATTTGTTTCTGAGTTTCATTGGGGAAAAACCTGTGTATTTAAGTAGACGTTATCGCAGAGATTCTACCTCAATTAAATCTATTTCCAGACTTTATGGCCACTCTAGAACTAGAATTATTCATTCATAAGTGAGATATACTTTCAGCTTTGTTCAATATCACCAAATATTTCTCCTTTTTATATCAATTAACATTCTGAATATCTGTTTATGTAGGATGATGCCTATCAATCCATTTCTTAAATGCATGGGAAATATATTTCCCTAATTATTCATTATTTGAGTTATTTTCATATGAGTTTCTTTTTCTTTTTTTTTTTTGGCGGTATATGGGCCTCTCACTGTTGTGGCCTCGCCCGTTGTGGAGCACAGGCTCCAGATGCGCAGGCTCAGTGGCCATGGCTCACGAGCCCAGCTGCTCCGCGGCATGTGGGATCCTCCCAGACCGGGGCACGAACCTGTGTCCCCTGCATCGGCAGGCGGATTCTCAACCACTGCACCACCAGGGAAGCCCTCATATGAGTTTCTTGTCCAGGGATGTTTTGCTTACAGTTACTTTTGGTGTTTGTGTTTTTGGCTATTTATTGTTTTTGGCTTAGTGATTTGTAATACTGCTCAAATATATCTTTTGCATTCTAATTTTTTACTTGTTTTATATGGCATACTTATCTTCTCCAGAGAGTTAGAACCCCCAGACACTATGTGGTTTTAAAGTTTTGTGGTCCTGCAAGGTGTTTGTGTAGATTTGTTTTGTTTTGTTTTCTCTTGATTTTGTTTTAATGGTAGATGTTTTAACTTTTCCATTGTCATCAAATGTTTGAATTCTTTTTGAATTTCTATTTTGTTTTGACAAAACAGATTTCCCTAAATACCTTTTGCAACACAATTCCTTTAAGGAGCCTTTTCACCTCGAGGCAGTTACCAGTAGGCATCCAAATGAAATGAGCATTTTAAATATTTCATAAAATATTCTAACCCAATCTTACGTCTCTTAAATTTGTTAGGCAGCTTTAAAAGTAGGAGAAAATCTACAGCTATTGCAATGATTATAAACTGGTCACTAAAATTAAGAGGGTTTACAATGCTGCTATTTACCATGGCTTCAATTGGGTTTTGTATCTATTCATAATTTTCCTTTTTACTCCGTTCAGTGTTGTCTTACTGTGTTTTGGCAGTTGGAAAATCAGTAGACCTTTGATTTTAGCAATCTCCCCTGACTCAGGAAAAATGAAGAGACAAAACAAAAAAATGAGACAGTTAATAAGGTTGCAAATCTTAGCTACTCATCACCTCTTTCTTATGACAGTTGACCTGGTTATATAATCAAAGTGATCAAAAGCCACTGGTTATTAATTTTTATAAGAAAATTTACCTGTTATATTTACATACATTTACATCACTGTCATTCATTAGATTTTAATTTTTGAGATTGGTGTCTTGCCCAGTTTTGCAGGATCAGCAGTAGTAAGTAAGGTTTTCTCATTGGGTATACTGAGCTATGTTTTCTTTACATATTCCTTATTAGTAATTTACTTAAGTTAGCAGTTAATAAAAGTATGTAACTGATAGATCATTCATGTCCTACAGAGTAAAAGAATGGGTCTCTGTTATTACCCTTTTTATTAGGATACTTGCTATTTCATATCTTTGAAATAGTTCAATTGTATTATAATTATTAATGTTGTTATTAATAGCTCACTCTATTTACTGAGCTGTCATGTGACCACACTGCTGATTTGCTCTTATATCCTACTCTACCTGGTTATTCTGAGTTACCATCAATGCTGATTAATTTCCCTCTTCTTGTGCAGTACTCCAGAGCTACTTGCCCTACACTTCTTTGTGTGTTTTTAGTATTTTTTGCTTGCTCAAACAAATTAAAACAATGAGCTATCCAAACCTTATATATGGACTTAAAATTAATGACAGAAATAAAATAACCATGTGGCTTGACACTTATTTTTTGAATCATTAATGAATAAATGAAAAAAAATACAACACATCCTTATTGTCTCCCTTATTTGTAATTACAGCTACATTTTGTTCACATTACATGAATATTTTGGTCACATTACATTAACATTTTTCTTTGAATTTTGTTATGAACTCCTGTCATTTCACAGACTGCTAATCTGATAAACCAAAATGTAACATTTGGTACTTTTTCTGGTACTTTTTCTTGGTGCTCAAATTGATAAAATTTATTCCTTTCCATTTTCATTTGTTCCTTTACCCTTTCCACATTTTCCCTAGCCTACTTGGAAGCTTTGGGTTCTTTCCCCAAATACAAGGGGATGTTCCAGACCTATCCTGTTTATTGCTGTCCTGAACCATAAAATTAGCTACTGCAAAGAAAGGATTCTGGTTCAATTTAATGGTGAAGAATTCTAATTAATAAATGTAAAGGGAATGAGGGAAATAGGAAATCACCATAATAATAGTGGTAATTATATACAAAATCCATTGATGGATGGTAAGAGTTGAAGGTGAAAGTATAAGGAAAAAATGGGATATTAGAATTGCTTCAAAGTATCTCTCCCAAGTATTTAATTACAAAGATAAAACATTGCACACACCCCTTTAACCAAATAATCACAACAGTGAGACACTGGCATCAAGGTGATGCACTAAGAAGGGCAAACACTTGGGTAGTATTCTCACCAAAACATGCATAACTATGTTCTAATAATGAAGGAACTGCAGGCAGACCCAAAATGAATACCCTTTTGTAAAATAACTTGCCCAATACTCCAAAAGTTCATAACTTTTCTAGGTCATAAAAGGCAAGGGAACTAAATACAATGCCGGATTGTGGATTCAATTTTTGGAACATTAGCAGAGAAAACTTGATGAAATTCAATCAAACCTGTCATTTGATGATAGTATTCCCAATGTTAATGTCCTGGTTTTGATCATTATACTACAGTAGTGTAAAATGTTAGTATTAGGCAAACTGGGAGAAGGGCATATGGAAGCTCTGTAGTCCTCTTGCAATTCTTTTTTTTTTCTTCTTCTTCTTTCAATTCTTAAGAACAGAATTAATTTTTTTAATACTCTGTTTCCAGTCAAAATGGGAATAATAGAGGCAGGATTTACCTTCCTGCCTAAAATAACAAAACACTAGATAAAATATGAGAAATAAAGGTTTTCAGACATTGGACACCAGGCAACACAATGGTAATGCCTCAGAAAGTATAAAGAAATTTGATCCACACACTTGACCCAGCCTACTGACTAGAGAGCATTTCCACACCTCAGCACTGTGAGGGGGAATACAAGGGGAGCTTTGTAATCTCCCTAAGTAGACAAGATGGAGCTGGGAGTCCAGGGAGGCAGTGATGGCTAGAGTCTGCAGGGCAGAGTATTGAGCCAAATTCTCATCAGTGCATGGGATCAAGGAAACCACCTGAGGCCAGCAAAAGAAATGCTTAAGAGCACAGGTAATCCTTGGAGCTCACACAGAGCCAGGAATAGTTTGTGTCCCCATCAGCAAGAGTGGTAAACCTCATAATTTATAGGGCACTGGTTAGATTACTCAAAAAGCTATTGCCTCAGTAGATAGGCGAGTTAGCACTAGATTAGGCTTTCCTAGTCCCACCTAGCAGAGCTTAAAGCAAGTCTTGAACAGATTGTTTCCAGGTAACATAAGTATATTACAGAACAAAGTTTGAGTATATTTATAGAAATGCAAAAATACCAAGCACATTGAAGGTAACTTTCATAATGTCTGTAGTAAATAAATTTTACCAGAAGTGTAAATAAGCAGGCATACATGACTATAATGCAAAAAATCAATAGAAACACAACCAGAACTAGAAATGACAAAAATAGATTTTGTATTTGATAATAGATACTGACAATACAAAGGTCATAACTATATTCTACATATTCAACAAGGAAGAGAGATTGATCATGTTAAGTACCAATGTGGAAAATATTTAAAAGACCCAAACAAATCTAGAGGTAAAAACAACGTCTGAGACATAAAAATACAGTTGCTAGGATTAATAGATTAAACATTGCAAAAGCAAGTATTAGTAAACTGTAAGACATAGCAATAAAAACTATATAAATTGAAACAGAGAAAAACAGACTGAGAAAATAAGAGTATCAGAGAGCTGTATGACAACTTCAACTAGCCTAATTATGTGTAATTGAGATCCCTAGAAGAGAGGAAAAAGAATGGGCAGGGGATGAAAAAATAATTGAAGAAATAATGGCTGAGGGACTTCCCTGGTGGTGCAGTGGTTAAGAATCCACCTGCCAATGCAGGGGAGATGGGTTCAAAGCCTGGTCTGGGAAGATCCCACGTGGTGTGGAGCAACTAAGCCCACGCACCAGAACTACTGAGCCTGCGCTTTGGAACCTGTGAGCCACAACTACTGAGCCCGCATGCCATAACTACTGAAGCTCATGCACCCTAGAGCCCATGCTCTGAAACGAGAAGCCACTGCAATGAGAAGTCCGTACACCACAATGAAGAGCAGCCCCCAGTCACAACAACTAGAGAAAGCCCACGCACAGCAATGAAGACCCAATGCAGCCAAAAATCAATCAATTAATTAATTAATTAAAATAATGGTTGAAAACTTGCCAAATTTCATGAAAATTATAAACCCACAGGTCCGTGAAGTTCAACCTATCCCAATCACAAGAAACATGGGGGACAGGGGGTATTACTCCAAGGGAATCATAACGAAATTGATTAAAATCCATGCCAAAGAGAAAATCTTAGAAGCAGGGAGGGGGAGAAATATCCTGTATGTGCAAAAGAGCAAAGATAAGAAACCATACTTCTGGACATGATGGAGTAAACACATTTTGCCCTATTACTCTCCACTTATTAGACTTAAAGTCCATGGAAAAAATACATGAAATAAACTTAAGAAGAATCTGAAAGTTGGAGTAATGAAGGCCAACTCTATTGACTTTGGGATTTGAATAACAACCCAGCCCAGTGGTGAGTTCCCTGGCAGAAGACTGGGTGTTTTGTTGTTTTTGTCTCCCCATATATTCCTATCTGAGCACCAGAGACTTGAAATTAGAAATACCACCAGGTGCAAACAACTACCAAAACACCAAACAAAAGCAAAAAAATAAAACACCCAACGTATGCTTGCTTTTCCTATCCAAAGGGCTGAGAAGGTTGCTGCCCTGCAGAACAATACCCTATTGACAATGCCAACTCTGCATTAACTGAACACTTTAAAAATGCCCATCTTTCACACTATTATGCACAACAGCTAGCAGCACCATCCTCCCTTCTTGCCAGTAAGCATCTGCAGAGGCCTTGTGTATGCACAGCCTAAGATCCCAGCCCAGCAGTAATGCCTCTCCTCCCAAGCAATGGGTATATGCAGACGCTGTGTGTGTGAGCAGAGACCTGACTGCCATCCTGGCCCATCAATAATGGGCATCTATAAAGATCGTGTATGTGATTAGAGCATTGACTGCCAACCTAGCCCAAGAACCATGAAGCACACCTCATTTCCTGGCTGGCAGATGCATTGAGAGGGTGTAAGTACAACTGGGGCATTGACTACTGTTGTGACTTGGCACTGACAGGCATTTACAGGGGCAATATGTGAATTATCACTCCAATGAAGCAGTAACAAAGGTCCTTTCCCTTTCCAGCCAGTGGGGGCTCCAAATACTATGTGTGTAAACAGAGCCATGACTAAATTCCTGCTTATCAACAAGTAACAAGATTTACATAGGAATCAGAGTGTCATAAGATTATAACCCAAATCATTGGGGTACAGTCAAAACTTACTCATCCTAGCAAGAACAAGGAATATTCAACTTGAATGAAAACAAAACAAAACAAAACAAAAAAAACCAAGATGACAAAGATGTTGGAATTATAAGGATTTTAAAGTTACTATATAAATATGCCTAAATAAAGATGGAATGCACATAAAAACAGAGCTCCAAAATACATGAAGCAAAAATTGACAATTTCACAATAGGTAGAGCCTTCAAAGTCAGTTTCAATATCAGCTAGAACAACTAGGTAGATGGTCAACAAGAAAATAGAAGAATTGAACAAACTATGAATCACTTAGATAATAGGCATCAATAGAAACTCCACCCCATAAGAGCAAAATACACATTGTTCTCAAGCATATACATATAAAACATTCTCCAGGATAAAACACACTGAGACATGAAACAAATCTTAATAAATTTAAAAGGATTAAAGTCATACAAAGTATATCCTTCAGTCACATGATATTAAATTAGAAATACAAGAAATTTGAGAAATTCACAGATATTTGGAAATTAAACACATTACTAATTAACCCTAAGGGTCAAACAAAAAATAAGGAAAATTAGGAAATATTTTTAGATGAAAATGAACCTAATGAGATGCATATAAAGCAGCACAGAGGTAAGTTTATAGCTGTAAATGCTTATATTTTAAAAAAGAAAAAAGAAAAAAGAAAAAAATCTCAAATCAGTAACCTAACTTTGCAGCTTAAGAAGCTAGGGGGGAAAACCTAAAACAAGAAGAGGAAGGAAATAATAAGGAATAGATGAGAAATAAATGGAAGAGATAATAGAAAATATATATAAATGAAACCAAAATTTGTTTCTTTAAAAGATTAACAAGGGACTTCCCTGGTGATCTAGTGGTTTAGACTCTGTGCAGGGGGCGTGGGTTTGATCCCTGGTTGGGGAACTAAGATCCCACATGCCGCATGGTGCAAAAAATTTTTAAAAATCAAGTAAAAGATCAACAAAATGACAAATATTTGGCTAAAACCACCATGAAAATAAAAAGGGAGAAGGTACTAAAATCCAGAATGAAAAAGAGGGCTTAACTACCAACCTCACAGAAATATAAAGTATAATAAGGAAATGCTATGAATACCTGTATCCCAGCAAATTAGATGACTTACAAAACAAATTCCAAAAAAGACAAAATCTACCAAAACACACACACAAAAATGGATAACATGAATATGTCCATATTTGTTAGAGGAAATAAATAACAACTTTCAAAACAGAAAGCATCAGGCACAGATGATTTCACTGGTGAATTCTACCAAATGTCTAAGGTAGAAATACTAATCATCTGTGATCTATTCCAGAAAATAGAATGCTGTCCTAACTCATTCTATGAGGTTGTCATTACCCTAATACCAAAATCAGATAAAGACATTGTAAGGAAGGAAAATTACATACCAATATCTCTCATGAATATAAAAGCAAACATCCTCAACAAATTATTAGAAAATCAAATCCAACAAATGTAGAAAAGTAATTACATACCACAGTCAAGTGGGATTTCTCCCATGCATGCAAGACTGGCTCAACATTTCAAAATCAAGTAATTAATCTATCATATCAACAGGCTAAAGAAGAAAAATCATATGATCATATCAATAGATGCAGAAAAAGCATATGAAAAGATTCCATACACATTCATTATTAAAACCCTCTCCGGAATCTGGAAATAGAGGAAACTTCTTCAATTTGATAAGAACGTCTACCAAAAACTAACAGGTAACATCATATTTAATGGTGAGGAACTAAAGGCTTTCCCGCTAAGAGCAGGAACAAGGGAAGGATATCTTCTCTCACCACTCATATTCAGTATTGTACTGGAAGTCCTAGCTAATGCAACAAGAAAAAGAAACCGTATACAGATTGGGAAGTAAGAAATAAAACTATTTGCAGATGACATGGTTGAATGTGTAAAAATCCTGAAGGATAATCAAAAAACTCATGGAACTAATAAGTGATTATAGCTAAGGTTGCAAAACATAAGGTTAATGTACAAAAGTCAAGTACTTTCCTATACACCAGCAATGAAAAATAGGAATTTGAAATTAAAAACACATAATTATTTACATTAGAACCAAGAAAGTACTGAGGAATAAATCTAACAAAATATGTACAAGAGATATATGAGAAGAACTAGAAAACTCTGATGAAAGAAATCAAAGAACTAAATAAATTAATATTCTATGTTCATAAATATTAAAAAATTCTATGTTCATAACCCAATATTGTTAATATGGCAGGTATTCCAAACTTGACCTATAGAGTCAATGCTATATTAATTAAAATTACAAGTTATTTTGTGGATATTGACAAACTGATTCTAAAGATCATATGAAAAGACAAAGGACCCAGAATAGTCAAACAGTACTGAAGATGAAGAAGTTGGAGGACTGGGGCTTCCCTGGTGGCGCAGTGGTTGAGAGTCCGCCTGCCGGTGCAGGGGACACGGGTTCGTGCCCCGGTCCGGGAGGATCCTACATGCAGCAGAGCGGCTGGGCCCGTGAGTCATGGCCGCAGAGCCTGCGTGTCCGGAGCCTGTGCTCTGCAACGGGAGAGGCCACAACAGTGAGAGGCCCGCGTACAGCAAAAAAAAAAAAAAAAAAAAAAGTTGCAGGACTAACCCTATCAACTTCAAGATTTACTATAAAGACACAGTAATCAAGACAGTGTGTACTGACAAAAGAACAGACAAGTAGATAAATGGAATAGAATAGAGAGCTCAGAAATAGATCCAAACTAATAGAGCCAACTGATTTTTGACAAGACAGCAAAGACAAATCAATGGAGAAATGTAACAATCAACAAATACTGCTGGAACAACTTGATAGCCACATTAAGAAAATGAATCTGGGGCTTCCCTGGTGGCGCAGTGGTTGAGAGTCCGCCTGCCGATGCAGGGGACACAGGTTCGTGCCCTGGTCCGGGAAGATCCCACGTGCCGCGGAGCGGCTGGGCCCGTGAGCAATGGCCGCTGAGCCTGCGCGTCCGGAGCCTGTGCTCCGCAACGGGAGAGGCCACAACAGTGAGAGGCTCGTGTACCGCAAAAAAAAAAGAAAATGAATCTGGACCAGGCTTTATGACTTAAAAAAAAATTCAAAATAAATCATGGGCCTAACTTTACAGTGTAATACTAAAAACAAAAACAAAAACAAAAACTTCTAGAAGATAACATGGGAGAAGATCTAGGTGACTTTGGGTTTGGCAATGATTTTTCTTGGAAACACCAAAAGTATGGTCCCTGAAAAATAAAACTTGATAAGTCAGATGTCATTAAAATTAAAAACTTCTGGGGCGTCCCTGGTGGCACAGTGGTTAAGAATCCGCCTGCCAATGCAGGGCACATGGGTTCGAACCCTGGTCCGGGAAGATCCCACATGCCACGGAGCAACTAAGCCCATGAGCCACAACTACTGAGCCTGTGCTCTAGAGCCCGCATGCCACAACTACTGAGCCTACGTGCTGCAACTACTGAAGCCCATGCGCCTAGAGCCCGTGCTCTGCAACAAGAGAAGCCACCGCAATGAGAAGCCCGCACACCGCACCAAAGAGTTGCCCCCGCTCGCCGCAACTAGAGAAAGCCCACACGCAGCAACGAAGACCCAACAGCCAAAAATAAATTTTAAAAAATTAATTAGGAAACATCCTTGTATGCAAGGAAAAATAAGGTATAAGGAACTGAAATACATTTTGTAAAGGGAAAAGAAAGTAATTTTGTCTGAAAGAGAGGTCAGATAGAAGAGAAATGGACAAAATCTGGAGATAAAAAGGAAATTATAGAAGGTAATGGAAAAGAAACCCTGGGCAAAGAGTTTAATGTATGATCAGGACTAAGATTAGAATAAATTTAATTGAGTAAATGACTTTTAATATTAAAGGTAAGGTGGTGCAAAACTAGAATTTGTTTCCCTCTCTGTTAAGGGAACAAAGTTTTCCTGGAATAATGATCTGCTTTAATAACAGATTATAAAAGTTTCTTTACCTTTTAAGTAATCTGTTGTAACTATCTGTATTTGCCTTTGAAATCTTTTATTGTCACTTTAGTTAAGTTAAAAAGTATTGTTTCACAGCACCTATAATCCTATTTGATGTTTTTGACAAACTTTCCAAAAATCGACTTCTAAATGAAGTGTTATTGACCTGAAATAAACTTGACATTTTCCAGAGGTCCCCTGGAACATCTCAAGAGATTTGTTTTCTCTCCTTATCAGAGAAAGATATTAAACTCATTAGGCTTATTTGGTATATTAAAGAACATGGGAAGCATTATCAAATGAATGGTGATAAACCCTCTTAGGATATACTATATGGATAAATGTTATTAATATAGCTATTCTAGAAATTACATGGAATTCCTAAAAGTCTGGTATGTTCTAGTATAATGTTATCAGTCATAATTCTAGTTATTATCTTTAATTGTTCTATGTCACAGAAGTAACCAAGTTTCTTTGCCAATTGCATTGTAATCAGATCTTTAACCATGCGTTTTTAAGTCTTTTGTCATTTATAGGCAGTTATTGTA